TGGGCGAATATTTACTCTTTCAATCTCTATTTTATTTACGGGGCTTTTTCGTGACTTCTACCAATGGATGAATTAATCTCTAGTTCAGCGGTGTACCATTATTATGTTTTCATTGAATACAACTATAATTGTAAGGATTGAGGGGTGTTTATTAAAAATTTCTTTTAAGTACTAACGTGTGTATAGAATGTGGTGCATAAAATAAAAATTGAGGTGACAATTCTTACATAAGAACTTCTTTAGCTGCAGCACATTTTAATTTCATTGAAAGTCTCTAATCTTTTCTTATGTTTGTACTTTAGTCTCCACTTCTTTTGTTGAATTTGCACCATCAATCTTTCATTATATAAGACATCTGATTCTTTATTTGTTTTTGTCAAATATTTTGTTAGCATGTCTTGAAATGAGGGACAAATATTATGTCGCACTTTGCATATATTATTATGATTTGCTGATTTAAAATATGAATGACAAATAAATCTTTTTATAACGTCTTAATGAACTTTTTGGGAGAAATTATCATCGGTGACAAGATGCCTCAATTAATGGAAGGTTGAGAATAAAAATGCATCGAAAGAGGGATATCCTGTATTGCTGAATAAGAATTCAAATATGTTAAATTCATTTTTTTAAGAGAAAAATAGGAAAGTCTTTGATATATAGCCCCCATTTGTTTCTTATTATTTGTTCATTAAAATGAAAAACATGACCGTTATCCATCACATTAAGGCACTATATTTGACTTTCTATTTTTTGTATGGAACTCGTAACGACTATATTTTTATTCTCATTTTACATTAATGTGTACCAAACGGAGCCATAAATATAACTATGGGAAAAGATAGAGGACTTTTAGCATTATTAAAAAAGAAATTGCGAGGACTGTGTAATCACCCTAAAAATGCGGTGCAATATTTTTAAGCCTTTGTTTGTCAATCATTTTTTCACATTCTACCACATTATTTTTTCTATAGTACTCATTTTTAACAACACATTCTTCATTAAAATAATATTACACATAAATTAAAAAAATCATTCTTTTTAACCACACATTTCAACATAAATCACTATTCTATAATACATTACTCATGAAATAATAGGGCACAAACAAACACTAACTTTGCTAATCTACAGTGTATCCTGTTTGTTAGAAATTAAAAATTCGAATTTCAATTTAAGTTAAATTCAACAATTAATTTTAACCACATATTTTATGTGATCCACAACTTTTTAACTATACATTTCATCAATTTTTATCAAAATCTACTAAAAATCTGATTTTAATTCCTACCAAACGGACATCTAGTGAGAATTATTTTTGGGTGATTTTAACCTTACTAGAATTCAATTACTTTAATAATACTTTTCTTTTGGTTTTTAATATGTAATAAGTACTACAAAATCCTTGTTGTTTGAATTTCGTTTTATTAATTCTCATTTAACTAGCATTCATATTGAGTTAGACTCAATGAAACTTGATCTACATGAATTTAGAGTTATTATAGATGAATTTATTTCTGTTCATGTATTTAAGAATTCTAATGGGTGTTTAAATTCATGTATTAGAAATTAATTTTTATGTACCAAATATACCACTTGTTTGGTATAGATTTTAAGTCAATTAAAATCAATTTTTTACTGTTATTTCACTATTCCAATTTTCATTTTTTAATTCTTCTCTCACGGGTAAAACCCAATTAATTTCTAACAGTCAAAAAAATAATTATCAAAATCTCTACCAAACGAGCACATAGTATTAAAAGATTGTTCATTTGTGGTATTTCATTATCACAAAAATTTTGATTAATAGAAATTGAGTTTTGAAAGTACAATTTTTTTCTCTTAAATTTCTATGATAAATTTTATTTTCTTTAGTTCAATTGAGACTCTTCAAATCCTCCCAACAAATTGGTATCAATTATTACTTTTATATAGAACTTATAAAATATTTCATAATAACGTGCAATACATGTTCAACTCAAACTAAAAATGGCAATATTTTTTTTTCTCTCTCTTCTCAAAAGAGGATTGATACAAAAAAAATTAAAAAAAAATAATAAATCCCTCATCTGATCTCATCTCATGTACCTTTTTCATTTATGCGTATGTATATAATTTTATATAACGCGTTTTTAAGAGATGCATGCAAGACAGAGAAGCACCAGCTGTTTTTCTTATCTTTTTTCTGCTTATTATTAATGCTACGTTATTTACTGTCCCATTGCGCGTTTTGTTTTTAAGATTATTTTTAATTTCTTGATTTTGTATAGATTATTCTCAGACAAGCACACTCCCATAAGCATTTAGCAGAATCCTAGAAGCTGCTTTTCATAGAATCCTATGTTTCTCTCTATATCATCCATTATTTTATTCACGCATACAGAGAGGATTACAGTGTATATTAACATGGGATTTTCATCTGGACAATGCTACATTTACCTACACATTACTATCGAATCTTTTATCTACACTCACAATGGAATGATGGGTCCCACAAGCTGGAATTTTTAAATGCACGCGGGCCCGCGCGCATGTGAGAGTAGGGCACCAATTCGATTACCTATTTTCGGTACATATATATATTTATTCTTTTTATCTAGGCAACATGGAAATTTTAACATTAAAATGCACATACAAGATAGTGACTTAATTATTTGAAAATATTCTTGAATCCCAACTCCTCATTTGAGTATCTGATGGATAGAATTATTCATGTGAACATCTTGAAATTCCATCTAATCACAGTTATTCTTTCATATATAAAAAACGTAATAAAATTTTATCATTGTCAATAATATATTTTTTAAATGTATTTTATATGTATATTTATAAGCCCATATGCCAAAAATTAAAAATTTACTCCTCTTTTTATTTTTTATTCATCTTATGTGGTGACTTGTGTGTAAGTCAAGAACTCTAGAATGCATTAAAATATGTATTTTATTCAAGTTTAATTGCTGGTTTATTAAATTATGCAATCCAGACCTCAAAAGTGTGCCTTTAATTTTCCGATCATATGTGTTGGCTTTAGAAAAAATTGACACTTCTCAGCTGTAATCAACATAAAAATATACAATTGGCAAGGAAAAGGAGGAGAAGCTTCATATTTATGGCGAAACTAACTGTACTTTTTCAAAGTTTTGAACCGGGAAAAGATAACTTAGTAAAAATAGGATCTGAATTAACCTGGATTCTTTGTCATGTTATTAATTGAGAATACACTATTGTCTTGACGAAGGTGATATCGAATGAGAATAATTTTTTTTTTTACTTTTCTTTTGTAGACAGAAAATTCAATAAAAGATGCAGAATATTTTGCAGTTGTTACAGATCTAGCTATATTTTATCCTTTTGTCAAATTAGCCCCCGATTGGCCCCCATTTTGTGGTAATGAAAATGGATGGAATAATTTTTTTTTTTTTTTAAATGAGTGGTTAAAAAAAAGAATTCAATTTACGTGTAATATTATTTTATGAAAAATTGTGTGATTAAAAATAGGAGGGAAAAAAATGGAATGGAATTGAATGAAAATTAACGAGACTAAACGGGATAATCTAAGTCAAGTCAAATGTTGGAAACTTACCTGTGTAGTCGATATCAAATCTATTAACAATTACTATGTCAATTCAAAAGGACTTAAAGGTGTTTTATCATGGGACAGAAATGTCATTATCATCGGTAAATATTTTTTTATTTAATAAACTATTGGAAATTATCTGTCACCCATTTCATATTACAAGAAGACATTACTATCCTTGACTGTAGATCTGCTCATCACATCAAACCCAAAACCCCACCTATAGGCTATAAATATCAACCATTTCTCCTAAATAATCACTTCCCAATTGCATTTTCCTCATCAGATGTACAAAGAAAAGAGAAATATTTCTTCGATTCATCACCCATTTTAGCTCATCACATCTTGAGTCTGGATTCAAGATTCAATTGAGGTTCAGTTGTTTGTCGTTTTAAGTAACACGAGTTGAGTTCAAAAAATTGTGAGACAACACAAATACTGATTCTTCAAGATTTTCAAGAATGGTGAAGAAAGAGCAAAAGATCCAATCCGGGGCAGCCAAAGAAGTTTTGTCGTCCTCATTACCATCATCGTCATCATTGAGTTCGAAATCTTTCTTAAAAAAGAAGTACAAGGGAGTTAGAATGCGAAGCTGGGGATCATGGGTTTCTGAAATAAGGGCACCTAACCAAAAAACAAGAATATGGTTAGGGTCATATTCAACACCAGAGGCAGCCGCTAGGGCATATGATGCAGCTCTCTTATGCCTTAAGGGAACTTCAGCCAATTTCAACTTTCCAGTATCCAAATCTCAAAACCTCCACCCTAATACGATCATGTCCCCTAAGTGCATCCAAAGGGTGGCTGCTGCCGCAGCCACAGCCGCCAACAATGGCTTTTCTCCACCCGAACCATGCATCTCTTCCACTTCCTCAGCCTCAACACCACCAACTCCATCACCATTAACACCATCTCCAACTTTATCTTCTTCATCACCTGCCTGCAGCCTCATTGAAGATGATGCTGTCTCATTAACACCACCATTGATCGATGACTACACAGTACCCTATGTTGCAGAAGAGACAATAATGGCCTCATGGTACAACTTTGATTCCCCCAAGTACACAGATATCCTCCTCAACGGGGAATTCTTTGATCCATTAATAATGGAAGATCCTTACGACAATATCGACATTCCTTTGTGGAGCTTCTGCTGATCAAGAGGCACTTTTGGTTAGATGGTTGAGTAGCACTTGACAATATTAATATTGTCCAGTACTATGTACCAGACGTACACTCAAAGTACTATTGATCCAACTCATTCACTATTATTTATACTTTCATTCATTGGATGATCTTCAGTTATTTCTTGAAGACGTTACTGACCAAAAATGTTTAATATCTTAGTATTAATGTTGAATTTTTTAGAAAACAAGAATTCAGAAGAGAGAAACATATAAATTTGTACTCTATACTTTATGTTGTTTGTCATCCCTACATGTAATGAGGCAAAAATTAATATTTCTTTCAAGTTAAATTGTAATATAAATTGTTCCTCGTTTAATTTATCTCGTGAACCAAAAGTATGATCTATTTTCCTTTATATATATAAGGGGTTGATTTAATCATTCTAATAATGGATTGTTACTTTATTGTAGCATTGTTTCGTCAAGGCTTAGTGGTATGTCATAAATATGTTAAATGAATTAGACATATTTCATTACGTGAAGGCGCTTCTTTAGTAATTTCAATATGCTAGATGTAAATCGTGCTTTACACCTTTATTGACATCCCTCCCTATGGAGAAGAAATATGTGCAATTAGTCCATCGGGGCATAACCTAGTAGTGCAAAGGAAAGGAGTGAGGTTATTTCACGCCTTGTTAACAGTCGTAGTATGAGGGTTCGATTCCTGAGACATGGAATTAGACTCCTTATAGGCGTAATGTACAGGCAGCTCTTGTTCTTTGATCTATTGGGGCACATCCCACGATTTACCTTCTCACAAAATTCTAAGGGTGGGACGGTAGGGGCCCTCAAGATTGGGGTTCAACCTTTTTAGCAATATGTGCAATTATGTGACGATGGGTTCAAAATCAATGACTTCGATGAATCCATGTGTAAGAGTGTCAACCAATTGTAGGAAGGAGAGTGTGCAAGTAGCATGATTGATCATATTGAGTCCCTATTTGGAATAGCTAAAAATTAGAACTATAGTGAATTTTAGTAAAAGTCAATGAAATGTGTGTTTGAAAATATGTAAGTTATATAAAATATGTGATTAGAATTAATTGTTAATTTTGATTTAAATTTTTACCAAGATCAAAATTCACATCAAGCAGGGGCTTAATCTAGCTTTTACTGTAACTTATTTAGTGCAATAAGATATCAAGAGAATTGAAAGATGATTAACCAATGCAATCTATACATATCCTTCAATCCATTGCACTTTTACCCATCGTTAATTTGTAGAAAACTGTTGAATGAATAAAACAAACCAAATACCAATTGGCTATTGACCTTAACAATTCTGCATATGTTTCGGAAGAATTTATGAACAATTTAATTTATATATAGATAGAATTAAGTGGTAGACAAATGGATATGGTATTTGTGAGTTCCTTAAAATGTGTGTTCGAAAATAAAGTTTGATCATTTATAAGGAATAATTTATAACTTTTACCAAACGGAGGTAAAATGGTCCATGTTAGAGGTCCAAATTATATAATTGTCAAATTCCTTAGTCGAAATCATGTTTTAGTTGAATTGTTTTAGGAGTTAATTGAGTCGCAATCAAAATCAAAATAGGATTTATTGAGTCCAAGTTATAGTAAGAAATAGATTTAGGTTGGTAGAGTCCAAAAAGAAGTTAAAGAAAGTGAAGATCAAGAAGATCAACATTCGAACTTCATAAAATGCGGGCGTGCACAACCAGAAGAGTTCCTCGATGATTTATAAGTTAGGTGTCTAGAGTCAGCTAAGGTTTAATAGTGTCTGGACTAACCATAAGTTAATTTTTCTATTGGATTTCACTAACAAATTTGCCCGGAGGTTTTTTATCTTAAGTTGCAATTTTCCTTCGTGATCATATTTGCTGTTATTTATTTATTTATTGCTTTGATCTGAATGTTTATGATTGTTTAAAAATATAAATTAATTGAATTAATTACCTTAATCATCTAAAAATAATTAATAAGTAACTTTGTTGCTTTTAGTTGATTTAATTTCAGATGTGGGTCTAGACTAATAGATTAATTTAAGCTTTCAATCTACAACGTTAGCTGGCTCAGCTTGCCTGCGTTGAAGCTTTCTATTATTAATCTTAACTTATTCTCATTAATATATGCTACCTAAGTACGGATGTACTTGCCACTGTACTAGTTCACACCAACCTCCTCTCATATTAAAAGAAAAAAAAAAAAAAAGATTAAACCACTATGCCAAATGAATTGTGACATAGAGGTTGACAAATTCCTAGGTGGATGGAAATTATGACAATGTTTAAAACAGTCAAATGATAAATTATCATAGCACTATGTCAACCTATCTGTCAATTACTTAATTAGGGTGGGATTGTAGCATGATTGAAAAAACTACCCTTAAGATTTGTTCAATCAGTTTTTTCATAGGGATGCATCGCATCGAGATGTACGCTATTATTTTTAGGTATGGATGGCAAAAACTTCATGTGTATGTGTAAAATACTGTTCCTAAGTTTAGGATGTTGAGTAAGACAAGAACAAGGTAAGATACAGAAAATTCGAATATTATAGTTAATAATTTTCGAACCATGTCATCATTTCAATGCAAGTTGTTAATGAGTTGAGATCTGCTGTCCACCAATGAATGATTGACACATCATTTTATATTAAACTATCATTGAACTTTAAGCACAAGTGACAATGAGAAAAAAATTGGATAACAAATTGGACAGCATATCTCATATCGTTGTTAATGAAGGATATTGACTTTCCCTCTAGCCGGCTAGACCCATCTAATTAATGGGGTATTTTCATTGATCAATCCTTATGAATGAAATGCCTTCATGGATATCTATCTTTAAGAACATTGTGTTGGGGAAATCATACATTGATTATTCATCAATTACTTGTGTAATTGTAGCATAGCGATTAGCGAGCTATAATTGTATTGTAGTAAACTACCGAAGTGAATACCATACTTGAAAGAATAGGAGATCATGGCACAAATTATAATGTAGGCTGGGCGATTGGCAGATGAAGGTGACCCTTGTCAGGTCATGTCATTTTTTTGATGTAACAACCTTATTTTTGTTGGGATGAAATTTCTTTCAAACTCCTAAGAAAGTAAGAAATAGTTAGAAAATGCATGTAATTAACATTATAACAAGAGTCATGCTGTCAGCCACCTTGTGACACTAATTAATGTTAAACTATAATTATGAAAATTAATTAATTATTGACTGTATGTTCTCATTTGTGTCTACGAGGAAGGAGAGAGGCTTGTACGGATTGACCCGACATTTTTCTTCTTAGGCACGTTCATTAAAGATTGCAATACTAGTACTCAAGCCTCTCCCTCTTTCTCTCTCTCTCTGAGACGAGAATCTTTCTTCTTCTTTTTTTTTCTTTAATAATGCAAGATCGAGTTAGTGTGAAGAAATATAAAATGATTTATGTTACTGGACTTTTAAAAAATTTCACATGTTAAGTATTTGATGAAACTTTAATGTGTGAATAGACATTTTGAAAATTAAAGTCATCCTGTGACGGTATAGGCTTTTATTGGAATGACCTTCCCGAAATTGGTCATCAACTTGCCAAAAATGAATTATGGATGCCGTGGTATGATCTTTTCATACACTTATGTGAAGACAATTATGGTCAAGCTGACATTGGATCACCATAATTTTACTCGCTGCATAATCTATTCATGTGATAAAATAGAGATGAGTTGGGTTGAATCTAAATAGCTCTATTGACTATGGTGGCCGAGTCTCATGTCAAGCCACTTTACACTTCTAACCCTGTTTGCTGGGAATTAAAAATCAAATTTTTAGTAGATTTTGATAAAAATTGATGAAATATGTAGTTGAAAAGTGTGAATTCCATAAAATGTGTTATTAAAATTAGTTATCGACATTGATTTAAATTAAAATTTTAACTTTAATTTCTACAAAACAGAAGCCTGATGGTCAATTTCTTCTTGTGTGAACCTCTCCCATGGCCCCACATTCACGTCAAGCCAGTTTACACTTCGTGCCTGTTTGGGAGGGATTTTAAAAATTGATTTTTTGACCGTTAGAAGAAAAGTGGGATCCACATGTGAGAGAAGAAGTCAAATATGACGATTAAAATAGTGAAATAACGATTAAAAAATTAATTTTTTGGGGGAAAAAATCACTTCCAAACCGGCCCTTCTAATGGTTAATTTCTGCTTGTGTGAACCCATGGCCCCACGTGGGAAAGGGAATTTTGCTCCAAACGATGCATGTCAACATGTTCATGTGTGTGCACTGGCTTTTCCCAAAGCAGAAAGAGATCTATCTTTCATTCGTACCTTACCATGAGTGAATTCGAGAATTCCTAGAGCAAAAGTCAATTTATGCAGGCGTCATCTTGTAGCCCATCAAACGGTTGCGCTTACTGCAAATTCTTTATTTAATTCTATCCGGACAGTACCTTGATTCTATATATAACGCGTTTTTATGAGATGCATGCAAGACAGAGAAGCACCAGCTGTTTTTCTTATCTTT